AACCTCACATTAGGGATAATGTAAGTTTTAAGTGTGGGGGAGGGGATTTAGGTTGTATTTTAAATTTTGATTTAGGTCGTGTTTTTCTACATTTGCTATTCAAAATAAATAAATAAACCTCAACTCTTTTGAAATCAATTGAAACAATGTTCTTGGGAAATTCTTGTGAACCTAGTAATGAGGTACGATCAAGGAGTATATGACTTATCCGAAGTCATTTCCAGTTAAGCTAGTCCTAAATTCAGGTTTAAGTAAATAGGGTAAATACTTTACCATTGCTACAATTGGTAGGATGGAGCATAAAATGCACCTACCAGCCAAGTAATTTGATGGTAGGATGGAGCATAAAATGCACCTACCGGTCAAGTAATCYGATGGTAGGATGGAGCATAAAATGCACTTACCAGCCAAGTCATCTGATAGTAGGATGGAGCATAAAATGCACCTACTAGCTAGCAATTCAAATAGTAGGATGGAGCATAAAATGCACCTACTGACCAAGTAATCCAAAAGTGAGATGGAGCATAAAATGCACTCACTTCTTCAGATGAGAGAAAAAGAAAATAAAAAGGCTTTCCCTGATTTACTACCTAGTTTGCAGTAGCAAAAATTGGATTGACTGATGAATGAGTCATGTATGACTTGGTTGTGTTGAATTAACGGTTCACAATATTTAACCTAGAATATTTGTGGAAAAAGATGAAGGAGAGTTGAGTTTAAAAATTGGTAGGATAATTAGTTTGTTCTTGTTTTATTTTTGTTTGAATTTTGTCTTGCCCGAGGACGGGAAAAGTTTAAGTGTGGGAGGATTTGATGAGACCAAAAAGAACCCTATTTTTATCCCCTAATATTCACTCTTTTACATTAATTTAGCACTTAAGTGGACTCATTACTCTTGTGTTTCGATTCAGGGCAAACAAGAAGGCAATTGGAAGAAAACAGGGCAAATCGGATGATTTTGTACAGTTTCGGCAACAGTCAGTAATCTAGGCATAACTCTCAATTCCGGACTCCGATTTGGACAATTCAAGAGGCATTAGAAAGATGAAAGAAAGGCCCATACATTTTATGTTTTGGGTTTTGACACATTCGATCCGCATCGAAGATGAAACCGGGCCCGAAGTCGGAGCAAGTTCGCAGCATAGCCCATTTCACAGCTGAAGCCCAATTCGCAGAAGAGCCTTGTAGCAGCCCAAGATATTAAAATAGCCCAACTCGAATTCAAGAGCCTAAAGTCCCAATTTCGAATGTAACCTCTAGAAAGAGAGTCTTATTAGATCAGGACTTTCTAACTTGAGGTTAATCTCCTAGAAGGAGTTGGAGAGAGCCCCTCCTCCTAAAGCTATATAAAGGGGGGGGGGGGTGGATCAGCTTTAAGCATCACTCAAGCATCCAAGAAATCATGAAGCAACTCAAGCTATCAAGAACAGCAGTTCGGCCTACTGAGAAGCAGAGCATGGAGGGATCAAAATTCATGAGCAGCTAAGCTTTTTCTTTCTGATTCAAGGGGGGAGGTGCGGTTGTGTCATCGTGAGGTTCTGTATTTAATTCAAGTATTGCCTTTTTAATTCAAGTATTCATTGGTTCTTGTGCATATTCTCATTGGATGTTAATGTTAATTAGTCTGACAAATTAATTAATGTTGATTCTCCTACTGCTATCCATAGTTCGGTGATATGTAATTGTCACGAATGATGGTACAAGTAGCAATTAGGTTAATATCTTTCTGGGTCAATTGTTCATGATAGCCTTTGACCAATGTATTGGCATGTTTTAACCTAAAAGGAATTGATGGAACAGAATTCGATAATTGCAGCTATCTCAATTGTTGTTATTTTGGTTTAACTGTTTTCACAAAGCTTACTGCTATCACTAGTTGATATGGAACGCTATCGTACCCAGTTGATTAGTGATAAGTGTTGATCGAATGCTGGGTTTGGTCAGATGAATTAGGAAAACACAAGGTTTATTATGGCTATCCTAATAAATCTAAGGTTAAATGCTTGAATTGGAAGACCACCGAAGTCTACCTATGATCGATGGCCAATTGACTAACCCGAACCCTTGAACCAGAATTCGGTAAGACTGATTACTTCTTGTTAGTTGAATTTGTTATTGCTTTCTTGTTCTTTTAAATTTTAGTTATTTAATTTTCCCACTCAGTTATATTATTCATTCGGCTGAGAGATAATTGTTTAGCTCCCTGTGGGATTCGACCTAGTACCACTTTACTGCAAACATTTTATTGTGGGACTAGCACTAATTTTGAGGGCTTCGACAACCCATCAAATACCCTTAAACTGGACAATTATGAGACTCGTGTTAGTTTAGAATCTTCATAGCCATTGGATAGATCTAGGGAGATTTATCTTGCTAAGGCTGACACTGATGTGCCGCCAAGTTGGTTGGAGTGGCTTGTCTCAGCTGCCAGGGTGAGACCTGAGGTGCATGCAATGTGGGTTTTCTTGAAACCCTAAACCAGACTAAAATTCCAGTACTACCCTGGACCTTAGAGATAAATGGGCAAAACTGGAATGTTACACCTGACCCCTAGACTCGATTATGGTATTGCACTAGGTATTGGATTGGGCTGTCTTTGATATGCCAATTAGTGAGATCCTTAGAGGGGGTCAAAACCAGGGTATGTTGGGACAGTCCGAGAATTCATCTGAGTGGGTGATCATTGTGATAGGATCAGCCCCTTTGGCAGACAAAGTGAATGAATAGGGATGCACTCTCTCTGATGGAAACCTAAACTACTAGTAGTTGATTTCAAATGCTGAAATTTGTTTTTCCAAAATATATTTATATTGAGATATACATATATATATATTATTGTTTCAAAATGTTTGGAAAAGGTTTTTATTCTCCGGATCCATGTGAGTAGAGAGTGCAGCACTGTTCCTTGCAGCCGAGGGAGATGTCCTCTCTTGTTGGGCAATGTTTGATCATTATGGGATGAGAGGTTAAGTGTAAGACCATTGAGGGTTATACCTAATGGGCTAATCTTGCATCTGCCCACAGTCCTTGGGCCTTCATACGATGGCTAGACCCAATGACCATTTAGTGTAAATATTGGGCCCATTAAGAGATCATGGTGATGGACGTAGGGGTTCATTGTCTCCTAAAATGAATTCAGCCAGGTCTTGTAATAAAGGCTTGGCTGAACCTATGTGGCTGATGTGTAGATCGATGTAAGGGTCCCACGCCTTACAAAAAGAGCCAAATAGGCAGCAAGTTAAAGGTGTAAGTGAATATATAGGCTTAATGGGCTAAAGCCCAATTTGAACTAGGCTAAAATTGGTTAATTAAAAGGAGGCAAGATCTAATTTATAATCTGATTAGGATTAGTTGAAAGGATAAGATAACTCTTATCCGTTTAAGAGTCCAGATCTAAATTTCATATTTGGATCGAGAAACTCTCTCCTAATTAGATTAGGAGGCTAATCCAAAGAAGACTATAAATAGGGGGAAATTCCTCAGTTTTAACATACAACAATCTGTAGAATTCTCTCCTTGTTCTTGCTAATTCTACCCAGTTCAATCTCCACCTGTGGAACTGATCAAGAAGAGTTCTTCATATTGTTTCTTGGTTGAAGAAACATTCTGAAGTTGTGCTCACCAACCCTTTACTCCATTCTTGCTGAAGAATTTGGTTCTTGCTGAAGAGTCGTCCTGTTGGTCCTGTTTCACTACACACTGTGTCTTCTTCAGTGGAAGCGGGTTTTGGTTTTCTCCTTGGGAATGAACACCTTCATTGGAAGTTATTGCTACTTTGTATCAGGTAGATCCCTCTCATCCCTTTGGTTTCAGATCTTGTCCGATTTTGTTTCGAGAATGATCCTTGAAAATGCAGTTTTTTAAAATAGGGAATGCGATTCCTAGACGGGAAAGAGAAATTTTTGAAATTTCACCTAACCTTCCTGCAGGGTTCGTTCATTCATATAATGGATCTCTCATCCCTTCAAGTCCACCGTTTAAGTTTACTGTCTTCAAATACATTTTTTTCTTCCCCTCTTAAGTTAGTATTTTCTGATGTATGGACCTGCCCCAACTTTATCCAATAAAGGATTTCGATATTATATTCTATTTATGAATTTATATTCAAAATTTTCATGGATTTTTCCTCTTGAGAGAAAATCGGATGTGTTTAATATGTTCCTTAAATTCAAGAATCATGTTGAGAATCTTTTTTCTATAAAAATGAAGATGTTTTAGAGTGATTAGGGTGGTGAATTTTGCTCTCTCTCCCATTATCTTAACAATGCTGGTATTAATCACCGTTTCAACTGTCACCACACGCATGAACAGAATGGCAGTGCTGAATGCAAACACTGGAACATTATTGAGTCCACCTTATCTCTACTAGTGTCCTCCTCTCTCCCTCAGTCCTTCTAGGCTGATGCTACTAAAATTGCAGTCTTTCTTATCAACTGACTGCCTACTCCAGGTCTTGGTAATCTCTCTCCTTATGAGAAGTTATTCGGCAAATCTCCTGATTATTCTATGTTGAAAGTATTTGGCTGTAAATGTTTTCCTTTACTTCGGCCTCATAATACGCACAAGATGGACTTTCACTCTACTCCTTGCATCTTTATTGGCTATAGCAACAATCACACAAAGAGTATCATTGTTACAACCCTACTACTGGCAAGGAGATCATTGCTCGCCATGTCATTTTTTATGAACATTCCATTCCTGGAATGGTACAGTCATTGCCATCTCCCAACCCTGCTGCTCCTACTGGGGTTACTCTCCCCTCACTAGGTTTCATTAATGCTGCTGACATGTGTCCAACTTCTACTAGTTCTGTTCATGAGGTATCTCCTGATCCCTTGCCATCTATATCTGTTACTAATGAGGAATATGTCACTTCTTCCTCTGAACCAGAATAGGAAGCTTCCATCACTGATGATCTTTTACCAGTTTGGTACACCAAACCTATTCAAGAGTTGCTTGACACAACCCCTGATGTGAGCCCCCCTATCCACACTCATACTATGACAACTAGGTCAAAGGCATCCAGATCGGCTCAAGCTCTGACAGCTACTCGCCATCCTCTTCCTCTTGCCTTATTCTATGATGCTACTACTCAAGAAGAGGAGCCATCTTCTTACAAACAGGCTGCTAAATCCCCTCATTGGTGTTCTGCTATAGCTGCTGAATTTTATGCACTACTTCAGAATGACACTTGGGAATTGGTTACCTATGATTCCTTTATGAACGTAGTTGGGTCCAAGTGGGTCTTCAAAATCAAACGACACCCAGATGGCTCGATTGAATGTTACGAGGCCTATCTTGTCATGCAAGGTTTCACTCAAGTTCCGGGAGTTGACTTCATTGAGACCTTCAGCCCTGTGGTCAAATCGGCAACTGTGCATACTGTTTTGTCACTAGCAGTTTCCTGTGGTTGGGATATCTGCTAGTTAGATGTCCATAATGCCTTCCTTAATGGTTTTATTATTGAGACGATCTATATACGCCAGGCGATGGTTTGAGGATAGTAATTATCTTGATCATGTTTACAAGCTTCATAAAGCCCACTATGGTCTCAAACAGAATCCTCGGGCTTGGTTTTCTCGATTAAGAAATAAGCTATATGATCTTGGCTTTCGTAGCTCTCAATGTGATCCTTCCTTTTTCATCTACAATCAGGATCAAATCATAATCTCTATTTTTGTTTACATTGATGATATCATTGTTACTGGCTCTTCTTCTTTGCATGTGTCTCAACTTATTAGCAGTTTGTCTCAGATTTTTGCTCTGAAGGATTTGGGGTCGTTGCACTATTTTCTTGGCCTTGAATCTCACCATGATGCTTCAGGACTGTTTCTCTCTGAGCACAAGTACATATTGGATCTCCTGCTGAAGAATAATCTTGCTACAGCTAAACCGGTTTCCAGTCCATTGGCTACCTCCTCTTGTCTCTCTTAGTTTGATGGCGAGTTACTCCCAAATCCCACTCAGTATCGGAGCATAGTGGGTGCACTCTAGTATGTCACTCTTACCCGGCCGGATGTTGCTTTTGCACTTAATAAAGTTTGTCAATTTTTGCATACTCCTACTACTGAGCACTGGAATGCAATTAAACGTATTCTACGGTATCTGAAGGGTTCCATTGACACTAGTTTATTTTTCTCGGCTCACACATCAGACACATTGACTGCTTACTTAGATGTTGATTGGACCGGTTGCCCTGACGACAGACAATCTACTGGTGGCAGTGGTATCTTTCTTGGTTCTCATTTGATCTCAAGGAGTGCCAAGAAATAGCCAACTATTGCTCACTCTAGTACTAAGGCTGAATTCCGAGCTCTAGCTAATGCCACCACCGAACTCTTGTGGCTAAATTCTCTTCTCTCCAATTTGGGGGTCAAACTTAAGTCTCCACCGATTCTCTACTGTGATAATAATGGGGCCACATATCTTGCAGCTCATCCCATTTTCCGTGCCTGTACTAAACATATTGAGGTTGATTTTCATTTTCTGTGGGATACTATCGTTAAGAAGTGTCTGATCGTGCGATTCCTTTCCATACAGGATCAACTTGCTGATATTTTTACTAAGTCACTTTCTTCTCAACGGTTTGAATGGCTTAGGTCCAAGCTTCAAGTGCTTCCAGCCCACTTTCGCTTGAGGGGGCGTATCGAGGAACTGGCCAACCCTAGGTTGGCCAGTCCTAGCTCTTCCCCCTTACCAAAGAGAGCTCTAGCCTTCCTGCTAAAGAGAGCTCCAACACTCTTACCAAAGAGAGCCCTAGATCTCCTACCAAAGAAGGCTCTAGTCTTCCTACTAAAGAAGGACCAACTACTATACAAAGGACTCTTACCAAAGAGAGATCAATCAGAGGAAAAAGGAAACTCTCTTCTTAGCAAGTTTCCTATTGAAAACTTTTCCTTATTTCTCTGTTTCTATTATTGTAATTGTTTCTAATTTATTCTTTATTATTTTGTATAAATATTCAGACATGTACAGTTATTCAATATAGTGAAATTCAACCCATTCTTTAAAGACCATTCTTCTCTTAAACTTTAACTTGGTCCACTCGAGAGACTAGAATTCGCTGTAATTGCTTGGGCATAAATACGAGGGCCAGTTGGTTAGCCATCAATATGGTGCACGGTGTTCGGATATATAGCCATATTCATAGGCAAAAACGGTATGAAACATTTGGTAGAAAATTGTAGAGAATACACCATGGATATATAGCCATATTCGTAGACAGTATGTTAAGGGCCTTAAGGCACATGGATATTTCTTTCTTGTCCTTTTTTATCTTTGTTTGATTGAGAGTAATGTGGGTCATAGGTTGTCGGGCTGGTGGGAAGAGAGTACACAGGACATAAAATTAGGATTCTGGGTTAACGGTGGCCCATTCTCCAGCAGACTATATATATATATATATATAATGATTACTTCTGTTTCCCTTTCTTCTTTGGGGTTTTAATCGTTTTCCACCTTTAGGTGGAGCTAGGATTTTTAGGGGTAGACTGTAATCTTGGACGTGGATTGATGCTAGATCCACGGGCAAAATAGACTCGGAATTGGCTGCAATTTAGATTTCTGAAGGGAATTATAGTCCAAAAATCCTTTTTTTTTTAGGCTGAGGAAGAGGAATATTTGGCTGTTGTTTTCTTTCGCTTCAGTATACTTGGCCTTTTCTTTGGTCCTCTCTCGGTCTTTAGTTTTTTGAATTATGTGGAGACTGGAGAGTTGAGTTATATATATATAAAAATTATTTTAATATAATAAGACAGATAATCATTTTCATTTTAGACCTTATTTGTTTTATTTAATTAGGTAAGTATATTTATTTGAGTAAGTGCTTTTTAGTTAAACATAACAGCATATGTGAGATTTCAATGTTATTTATAAAATACAAATTATTCGGATAAATTACAAGTTAATATAGCGATAAATAAATATAAATATCATAATTAATTTACCGATTAATCAATTTCTCCCTTATTAAATACCTTCCAAAATCATATATCTATTTGTTTTTATTTGACGAACCATTAACTTCATACTGCCGAGAATGGAACTCCCTAGAATCAATGGCTATTTATTAGTACCTAACGGAGAAAATAATAAAATTCTTTTAACACCTAACCGACATAGAACATGTGACCATATATTTCCTCCCTAAGTTGATATCCTCCGTTCCTCCACTATCATCACATTTCTGGCGTCCTTGCCCTTCTCCAGATATTATGTAGCCAAAATAAAAGGTTGTAATATACATTTGAATCGTCAATTTGACGCGTGTAAAGACGATCAACACCCACCATTGACTGGTTTCCACCTGAGAAATTTTCTTATCTTATCCAAACTTAAATCGTGATATTTTTATTCTTTAAATTTTTTAAACTACTTATATGACTTAGCTAATTGATTAATTTTGTATTTACTATTTAACTATTATCTTGCACTATTTCTATTCTTTCTGATAAATGATATGGCGGAATTGCATGCACGTGGATCTAGCATCACAATTTAGATTTCTTCGGGAATCTAGGACCTGTTACAGAAAGTCTCTAATCCATTACACCTATATAAAGGCACCATTCCCCTCAAAGAAGGTATGCACGATTAAGCTCTCACACTCTCTAATCTTCTTGACATTCTAAAAAACTCTTCACTGACTTAAGCATTGGAGCAACCACCCCAGGTAAAAACAACCCGGGCACTCTAACACCTTTCTCCTGCAGAACTACATAACTTGGCTAGACTTAGCTCGGCCACCAACAAAGGAAGCTTCCAGCTTGGACTAATCTCAAATGTCCCCTTAGTGACGATAGGGTAAATCAATGTACCATTGACTCCGCCAGGCATCTCCCCTACCCTAAACCTGGCCTTGCCACCACCTCAAGTGAACACATCTCCTCCTGTGGTCAAGCCCTCCGTGGCTCCTACTGGAATCAATGCGTGTCAGTTCTATGATTTGGTGCAACGCATCCGAGGGATGAGCTCCCACATAAGGGTATGAGAAGATAAGTTCTCCACCCTGATAGGGGGCAATGACAACAGCAAACTCAGCACCAACAAACACAATAGCAGTGACAACAACAACATCAGAATACTGGGCTAAACCCTAACCTGTCTCCCAATCAGATTCCGGGTTAGGTCCCTAACCAGGTACCCAACCAGATCCCTAACTAGGTTCCAGAGCAAAACCTGAATCAGCCCCCAATGGAAGGACAAAGCCGAGCCACAATGCTCATTGGAACTGAAGCTGCCAGTTCATCCAAAGGGTCCTGAAGGAGGCGCTATAGACACACTCACTGATGAGACTGAAAAGAACCCTTTTTTTGTCCCCTAATTTTCATCTTTTTACATTATCTTAGCACTTAAATGAACTCATTACTCTTGTATTTCGATTCAAGGCAATAAAGAAAGCAATTGAAAGAAAACAGGGCAAATCGGGTGATTTTGCACAGTTTTGGCGACAGTTAGTAATCTGGGCCTAACTCTCAATTCCGGACACCAAATTGGACAATTCAAGAAGCATTATAAAGATGAAAGAAAGGCCCACAACTTTTCTGTTTTAGATTTTGACATATTCTGCTCGCATCGAGTACGTAAACAAGCCCGAAGTCGGAGCAAGTTCGCAGCCAGGCCCATTTCACAACTTAAGCCCAACTCRCARAARTACCTTGAARCWSCCCAAGTTTTAAAGCAGCCCAACTCGAATTCAAGAGTCAAGAGTCCAAATCTCGAATGTAATCTCTAAAGAGAGAGTCTTATCCGATCTAAAGTCTTGAATGTAATCCTAGAGAGATTGAAATTAGATCATTAGATAAGAGATAAGATAGGATTAGTTCAAAGAAGATCAAGACTCCCTAAAGATAAGATGATCTCCTAAAAGGAGTTGGAAAACAACCATCTCCTAGGCTATATAAAGAGGGGGGCGAACCAGCTCTGCCATCACTCACTCTCAAATCCAAGAGATCATCAAAAAGACCAAGAAGCTCAAGAAGGCAGTTCGGCTATGGAGAAGCAAAGCATGGAGATTGCACGAAACATGAGCAGCTAAGCTTCTTTTTCTAGTTCAAGGGGGGAGGTTCGATTGTGTCATTGTGAGGTTCTGTAGTTAATTTATTTTCTTGCCTTTTAATTCAAGTATTCATTGATTCTTGAGCATATTTTTAGTGGATGTTAATGTTAATTAGTTTGACAAACTAAATTAATATTGATTTTCCTACTGCTATCTATGATTTCGGTCATCCGTAATTGTCACGAATAATGGTACAAGTAGCAATTAGGTTGATATCTTTTTGGGTCAATTATTCATGACAGCCTTTGACCAATGTTTTAACATGGTTCAACTTAAGGGAATCGATGGAACAAGATTTAGTAATTGCAGCTATCTCAATTATTGTTATTTTGGTTTAACTGTTTTCACAAATCTTAATGCTATCACTGT